AAAAAGACGAGTGCACCGTATTCCTCATTTGCAATGTAGATTACTTTTTGGAGCAAAACAATAGGATTATTGAAATCAAAATCTGACCCAATGAATAAAACATGATAAGCTGAGAAAATAATGGCAAGTAGAAAATAGGCCAAACAAATGTTCACGAATTCAGAAATGTTTTTTTTCCCCCCACTTTGCTCTAAAGAGGAAAACTGAGGAAGCAGTGCAAACAGGTTAACTCCAGGGAGCCTTGCATTCTAACCGTGCAATGCTTTCCAGAGAGTGTAACATATAGAGCGCCTTTCTCACTCCACATGCTGGATTTCTGATTATGTAGCAACCTTTTGGATTTTTTTTCCCCCCCTTCAAAGTAAACCAACAACAGGAACAAGGACACATGGGAGGAAAAAAAAGGCGTGCTATTTACGGCGGCGCTGCCACTGGGATCGGCCCCAGAGTCCCCGATGCTCAGCGTGAAGTTTGTCACCGAGGCGGTTGTCCGGGCGACAACGAGGCAAGAAAACCCCCTCGTGAGAGTCGTCTCCAGGCATCCTTGCTTTGGTCGCACCATCCCGGCCTTTTCTAGCTTTTGATCATCTCCAGGAAAGTGATAAATGAGTCCGGGCACGCTGGTGTCGGCCCGTTATTTGTACACTCGGCTTTGATTGAGCTCGAGACCATTTGATCTGTGAAGTGAGGTGCTCGAGGAAAGAGTTTGCCGGCGCTCGGAGCATGAGAGGGCCGTGTAATGGAAACACTTGGCAGCTCATCGTGTAGAGGTTGACGTCAATGTCAAAAGTGAGATCCTGTGACAGACGTGATTAAATATTTAAAAGTGTTGATAGTGCAACCGGAGAGTGTTCCTGCGCTATTGGGATACAGTCGCTTTTAAAGAGGCCTTGTGGACAAGAGCTGTTAATTTTCTCCTGCCACGTCTCGCATCTTCACCGACTCAGACGGAGTCATCCACTTACCCTCTGCGAGTACCTAAGTTTTCGTTTTTCCAAGTGCGCCGGTGGTGATTTCACCGCAAAAAAAGAAAAAAAAACACACAGCAGAAACTGAGTTGTCAACGTATGGCCAGATGGCAGTTAATCATCTGTCTGTATCGCTCCGCAAACATGTCTGCAATGAATTCTCCTAATTAACTAGAATGTATGATGAAGGTATCAGGACAGTGGAGACGTCTTTTAATCTAATCAATCAAACGTGGCAGTCGCTGCGTTTAGGCGAGTCTGTATTAATTTAGATCATATTTTAAAATCAATGCTGTCAGCCTGTCCTGAGATAAAACCATACTGTGTAGCAGTTCATCAAATAATAAAAAATAAAAAAATAAATCAGGATGAAATGTTGAAATCTGTAGGTAGCTCGGATAGTGTATTCGGACATTTTTGGAGTTGTCAGTGGTTTTTTGGTATTCAGTTACAATGTAATCCATTATATTTGCCATTTGATTAAATATTGGACAGTATGTCATTGGCTGAAGAAGCCCAAATACAGCATCAATCAAATCTTAGCAAAAACCATAATCTGACTTTTTTACATTTGTTTTTACTGTACAAGTATAAAAGCAAAAAAATTAGCATGTGTTGCTACAACATGGAGCTAAAACCTTTCGAAGACAGCTAACGAGATAACGAGCATAAAGGAGCTACATCAGGTGAAATCATGCTGCTGTAACTTGTGGCTCAGGTGGTAGAGCTGGTTGTCCACTGATGGCAAAGTTGGCGGTTCGATCCCCCCCTACATGCCGAAGTGTCCTTGGGCAAGACACTGAACCCCAAGTTGCTCCCAATGGAATCAGCGCCTTGCAGCTCTGTCGCCATTGGTGTGTGAATGGGTGAATGAGAAACACCTTGTAAAGCGCCTTGGGTAGAAAAAGGCGCTATATAAGTGCAGACCAGACCATTTAAATCTTAACCTGATGCTAAAACTGAACAATGAGGCTAAAAAAATTGAAGAAAGTGTCTGATTGCACTTTGTTTGGACTGATATTGTAGTTTGATTTGACTATCTTTTGCGTTCACTATTCACTGCGTCACATATTTAACAAGTGATGGAGGAATTACCAACAGAGACACAATCAAGGAGGTCACAGGAGGAGGACGGCGGTTTAACCCCTGGATAGGTGATGCTGCAACATGTACGAGACGCAGCTATTAAATAATGGGGCTGGATGCAGTCTGAACTCCGTAGTTCATATTGATCACTTGGCATAAAAAACCCTGAAGGTTTCACTCTGATCTAATTAATACAACATTAGTCTCATTATCTATTGATCATAGCTCATGTATCCAAAATTGCAGCCTTTTCGATTTGCTAATTGCATTGTTATAAATTGCAACTTTGATTTGAATTCGATTAAATGTGCAGCCCTGCTATACGTACTTATTGATGGTTCCTTAAGTGTTTACTCCAACTAGAAATATCAATTTTGATTAACCAGTGTCTTTAATTTTTGATTCCAAATGAGCCTGTAGCTAAATCCAATACATCTCAGGTAAAGTAAACCTGCTAGAGGTGAGTCTTTTGGAACTGACATGTGAGCTTTCATACATGTGAATGGGCGGCTAAGCTGCATTGTCACACATATTTCATTTGTTTGCTTGTAGATGAAGCTAGTGGGCTAATTTTAGTGTCATTAACAGACAAACTGACATTAATCCACCCATCCAGATCCACTTATAACTAATCTAATCTACCATGCATGTCTTTGGACTGTGGGAGGAAACCAGAACTTAGAAACGCCACATAAACAACAGCTAAATTAATGAATAATGACATGTAAATCAAAATAATGTTCATTTTTTTGAGCAAAGAACACATGTTGTGCATAGATACAGCATTTTTGACCCATTTTCTCTTCAGTCTGTCCAACGGTAGAGGTGCAGTGTGTCCATTTTTTAGCTATAATGTGGTTCTAAAGGAAGCATTTGGGGAAATCAACCCAAAGATGACATGAAATGAAGGCATTACATCAACCACAAGCTGTTTTTTCCCTCCGTTGTCTGCCTTTGTGGATCTACTGCTGATACTGCAGGTGCTTCTCCTCCTCACTCGGACACATCAATACACAATCAATCATTAATGATCTCAAAATCAACACCTTTCAACGTTTTCTTTCATAAATTAATTATTCGGTTCCTCACCGCTACGCGCGATCCCTCTCCTCCGACTAAACCGAACCCTGTGAAGGCGATTTAAGGCTTTTTTTTTTTTTTTTTCACACAAATACATTCCTGTGTGACGCTTCACACTTGATTTCTTTGGCACAGAAACCGTCAAAATAAACGATGCTTAATATAAAACGTATCGACAGCTTTGGTGCAAACACGCTTCCAAAAACTAATTTCATTGTCGTCGCCCATTTGTTAATGTGAGGTTAAAAACTCTGGGGTCCTTTCAAAACAGTAGACTTGACATTTATACTTTAAGCAGATCCGACGGTTTTCACTTGCAATAAACGCAGGACTAGATCTATTTTTTTTCATTTAGAACCGCTTAATTTCCATTTTAATCACGAGTCGGTGTAATTTGGAGCTAAAGAGTGAATCAGATATAATGAAATGAAAGTGAGTAATGAATTCCTAAACGCTACATGATTATCTTTGGCATTTTTCCGAAGCTTTAATTTACAGAAACTCAAAAGCTGAAATGAACTTCCTTTTATTTTCTCTGTACATAAGACCAGCCACTTTAATAGTGTTGTCCTAGACCGCATAAATACCTCTAGTGCCACTTGGCTTAATTTTTCAAATGCAACATCCTGTCTTTTAAAGAGTCACTTACAGCATCACAAGTGGGTATTTCTCTACTTTCTGTCTTTTGTCTATGCTGATGACATGCCGTTTATTCATGATGCATACTTACAGTCTCATTGATCAATTATACAACAGAAAATCTTCAAGAGAGGAAGAGGGAGGTGGGCGGGCAGGCGGGGAGGGGAGTGAAAAGTAGAAAAGCAAACTAACTTTTGAGTTGGATAAGGCTTTTTTTTATGGAGTATCGAGGAATGGGAGATAAGCTGGGAGAGGTAATGGAGAAGTCCCCTCGGGAAAGAAGCCGGCCTGGAAGCCAAACCACCTCCGCAGATTGGATTAATATTGCATGGCCGCTTGTGCAGGGGGGGCTCCCTCTCTCCAGAAGGAACACTGATTGCCTCATTCGCTCTTTCACATCCTTCAAAAAAAAAAAAGGGGGGGAAAAAAAAGTTATCAAAATACTACAAAGGCGGAGGCGGCGACGAAAACAAAGCCACGACTCGTCCCTTGAAAAACATCAGTGACAAAAAGCTTTCAAATGACTCCTCTGAAAGGGACAATAACAAAGAGCAAGTGACAGGGAGCATTTATCCCTTATTTATCTTCCTCTAAAGGCAGCGCATGAAGGTTTTCGCTGTTCTTGAGACATGGCATGAAGCGAGGTTGCCACACTGTTTTGTTTTTTTTGTTTTTTTCCAGACTGTAATTTGTGTGAATAAGGGGTTTAACAAGGTTGGAGCGCCGGCTCAGTTCAGGAGGAGTTGCGCCCTTGTGAGCGGTGCATGTTTGTGCCTGTGTCGGTGTTGACGATGTGCATATTTCACAGATTTGCGACGCCTCCTTTTCCCGGCAAAGGTTAAACCTGCATCGACATCTGTTGAACCGACATGGACTTGAAATGATTTAGCCGCCCTCGGTTCGAGTCTCTCGCTCGGATTTGGTGAGGAGACTTCAGCAGACATGCAGAACATCTCGCAAATTGACACAGCTCCGACTGTCACTTAAACACACGAGCATTGTCTCGCCAGAGGGAGATTTGTCAGTCTGGAGTGAGATCATGTGTGTAAATGAATCTGCGGGGAAAAGGGAGTAGCTCAGAAGCTGACACAAGGTCATGGTTCGCATCCCTACTGTGTGTATTTCCTCTTTTCTGCTCTCAACATGTTCCTACCTCTCCGGTTTTATGACCTTCTTTGGCCCAAAGGGATCCGAACCGGGGATGGCAGGGAGCGGGGCAGCAGCCGTCGCCCGGCCCATTTGTCAACATTTTCTGTGTGTCTGTGCTTGCTGCAACTTTTGATGAATGCGAGAAGCAGCACCTTTCCCCTTTCCTCCGTCACGCACAGTAAGCGTGCGGTGAAAACACGTGGCGCTGACCGGAGGCGGTTTCGTGCGGACTCCAGATCGGTCTCGCCACACCGGATGAGCGCCTAATTAGCCCGATTTTTTTGTGAAATGAGCACGATAGGATCCTCGGCAGAGCGACACATTTGGACAGAGCGGATCCAGCTCGGCAGAAAAAAGTAACTAATTTTCATTGTTATAGATTCTGACAGATGTTATTTGTTTTCAAGTGGCATCCGGATGCTGAGAGTTTCTCCGAGCAGTGATTGATTATGTACTCAGCTGTCAATAGCAAGTACAAGGAGAGCTTAGCTCACACTTCCAAAAAATCTGTTTTCATGAAGCATCTAATAACAGTTTGATAGAGTACCTGTCTGTTGCAGGTAAACAAATCAATGAATATGAGACAATCAATAAAGCAGGCTCCAGCTCAGGGGAAGCAGCTGTGATGACTGCCATCCTCTGGCCGGCTCTGGTAACTGCAGCTGCTTCTCTCTTGCCAGCTTCCAGAAGATGAAACATGTGCAAACAAACCTAAATTAAAACTGTAGTCTTCTGTTCTTCATCCAGAACTTCATTTGGAATGATACTTTACTAACATGCTTGCTGTTTGTTTGTGGAAAAACTGGTGTATACTGCTTTTTGTCAGCCAAACAAACTCTTGTGGTTAGATTGTGCTGTGTTGATGAACACACTGCGTGATGACAGCGTCTCTTAATTGGGCAAAAATGATATTGATTTTCAAAAGGTCACTGGGGATGCAATTTTTCAGCCATTTAAGTAACTCACAGTCTGCCACGTGAACAATCAATCACTGAAACAAAGAGAAAAGTTTATTTTTAACCACTGACGCTTATTGTTTGGCTGCAGAACCAGCTTGGTTGAAGAACAGATAAAGTAAACATCAGGTTACTTGATTCATAAATTCAACTGCAAAAAATTAATGGCCCCTTTAAAAATTGCTTTGCAATTAAAACGTCTTACAAAACTCAAAGTACACAGCAAACAACCGGCAGTCTTTTACAGTAAATAACCTGTAATGTTAGTATTCTCTTCATAGCGGCTTTATATCAAAATAACACCTGATCTGTATGAGTGTCTTGTTTATTATAGCTAAGGTTAGTCCAGCTGCTGGAAACAGCTGCTCAGCTGGAGCAGATGCTCACAGATACTAACTTTCAGTCAAAGAAATCCGTCAGTGTTCAGCCTCTATAAGTGTATTTATAGTCAGAGCAGAGTGTCGCTGGTACCTTCGTTTTTTTTTCGTTGAATGTTGCTTGAAGCGTGTAATCAGAGTGCTCCTGAACTTTAGCAGCGTTAGCATGAACAGCTGCTGACCCTCATGACGGCCCATGTTAACGTTTGAAAATCCTACTTTAGCGTTAGATAGCTAACTGAACTGGACACCTTTATGCTGCCGAGTTCATCGACTTATTGGCCAAAGTTAGCAGACAGCAGGAAGGGGCATTAATTTATGCAACACTTATGGGAGGTCAGCAAGAGCAAGAGGCTCCATCTGATGGTGCAACCAGGTACTACAGCAAAGTTACACTATATTATCTGACATGCATGTCGATTGTCTTCTGCCTTATTTTTTAAAATATATTTTTAATTAATTCAGTCATTCACTTTAATAATCACATAATTATGTTGCAATTTAATGATTTGTTTTTAAAAAAAATTTTGACATTGTTATTGTTGGGGCTGCAAGGTGGCGCAGTTGGGAGCACTGTTGCCGTTCGCCGGTTCGCGTCCCGGTGAGGACACCGGGGATCTTTCTGCGTGGAGTTTGCATGTTCTCCCCATGCAGCGTGGGTTCTCTCCAGGTTCTCCAGCTTCCTCCCACAGTCCAAAAACATGTGGAGGTTAATTGGTGATTCTAAATTGTCCGTAGGTGTGAATGTGAGTGTGCTTGGTTGTCTGTCTCTAAGTGTAGCCCTGTGATAGACTGGTGACCTGTCCAGGGTGTCCCTGCCTTCACCCTGAGTCAGCTGGGATAAACTCCAGCCCCCCGTGACCCTAGTGAGGATTAAGCGGTGTATAGATGATGGATGGTTGGATTGTTATCGGTGACTCTTATTCATAGTGTGTCATTTTGAATTGTTTATGCTCGTCAGGTTTAATTTTCTTGTAGAAGACCAACAACTATTTTCAGTTCATGGGGATCCAAATTTAAAAAATAAAGAATGGATTTGTTCAACTCGAGACTCCAGATGCTAAAGGAATTAAATACTACTTTAATAAAGTAATATACATAATCAGCCGCCATATGTAGAGTATGAAAGTGACAACACAGCTTGTTCATTAAAAACAATCTTTAATGAAGTGCCTGCTGCACTATGACACGCACGTCTTTACACTTTCCCACGAGAACCGTTTCTGTGAAATGTTCATAAGCAAGCGCGTCATCCGCTGAAATACCTGTTTACACATGTTTCTTAATCATAAGGTTTATCCATGCGAGCGTAGCAGACAATTGCGTAATGCCTCTATCCTGTGCAAGATGGGAAAAGTCTCCAACATTGGAACTGACTATTCCTTTGCCAAGACTCTGTCAGATTAGCGTAATTCGGCAAACAGTTATTAAGGGAGGTGTCCATTCAGAGAGAGTTTAAGCAGCCGATGACATCAGGTGTTTAAAAACAACACCAAAAATGCTTTTCTGACATGCAAACTGTGTGAATGCATCAGGAAGCGACAGACAAACTCAAACCTTAAACCTCTGAGTCAGTAAAAAAACAAGTTTGTTTCCGTGTGGTTTTACACAAAAGGCTAAAGTATTCAACTAAAATATACATGTGAATTGAGTAGTTATCTGCAGAAAAAAAAAAAGCCCACAGACACATTTCCGTGGATGTGCCAGAAAGCTTATTAAACCAACAGTCTAATCAGACCCAGGAGACGTCAGCTTTGCTTCAGCTGTTTGCCTCATTCATTATCGCACAGTTCTGCGACCACATGTTACAGCTGTGGTCCTGCCTCTCCCAGCGATAACATAACAGGAAAGCAATGTCACAGTCGATAGATGCCTCGCGTAAAGCAGTTTATGTATGACAAGCGAAATTTCTCCAACGCCTCTTGCCAGAAAATGTAAACGGAACAGTAAAGGACTAACGCGGGCTTTCAGACCTCAATGGGACGTCGGCTTCATTAAGAAAGAAAGGATTTGCATAATTCTGTACAGTTGTGTGATGTATATATGTAGAAGTCCGGGAAACACACAAAGGGGTTCTTAATTCATAATGAGCTTAGCCTAAAGACGTTTTTGAAATCTGAACAGGGATGATTTTTGACATTATAGCGAATGCTTTGGCTCGGCCCGGAATCAAGACGTAATGAATGCATCGGTTTACTGTTGGTATCGATTTCAAAAGAGAGCCATTCGAATTCATTAAGACTTTATGGACCAATAACTCTTCCACATTTCGGCGGATAGGAGTTGTGTTGAAAAACCCTCTGAGCTCATTTCTTCAGATTTTTAGACAGCTATCGGACAGAACGAAGTGATGACACATAAATTAATCTATTAAAGCATTGCAACCATCAAACTTTCTACATAGTCTTACAATAAACGCTGACCACTGAGTTTCAGACATACATATATAATAAATGACTTAGCAATTTGTATGATGAATATTTTACGAGCAACTCAGCGTTGACATAAATATCCGCATGTATGCTTTGAGGAGGAACAGATTATTTAATCCAGTCATTTCATTAATACAATATAATGCAAAAAAAATCTAATTGAAATCTTGTATTTATGCAAAAATATCAAGTAGCTACTGTATATGTGAACATAACACCATTAAAATGTATTTATAGTACAAACAATAAAGCAAATGACCTGTAATAGAAACAGGAAGTAAACATCAAATGCTATTATAGGGCTCATATAATAAGGAAGAACTCTGCAGCACTCTTAAAATTAAGATTATTCTTTGGTTTAGTGTAACAGTGAGGAGTTTCTCTCACTTCATGGACAACGCTGTATGTCTGGCTGTTTGATAAACATGAGTCCTACACACAATCCATGAGAATGCCTCAAAACGATTCCACTTCCATCTCTGCTCAAACCGCTTTTGTTCCACTGAATACTGAACCGGGTTCCTCGGCGAGCACCGGTTTTTCTAAAAAAGGCCTTTGAAGCTAATTAAATCCTGCCTTGGTGTGCAAACGGCTGCAGCTGCAAGCCTCCTCTGCTTTGGGCAGAAAGAGCCTGGGAGTCGCCTGGATCCATCCATCTTCATCCTTGTCAATTATGCCGTTAGCAGGCTGCACATCTTCATTTCCAATGTGGGCAATGTCTCAAAGTACTTCCCAAAGTCACAGTAATCCAATTATATTCTGGCATTCACTATGATACAGCCCATTAGAAAGGGCTTAATCAATGTGAGGTCTTCATTAAAGCAATTTATGAATATTCATCATGACACTCAATCTGATACTTTATGGGAACTCGAATCAAACCATTCCCCCCACCCAGCCCCCGGCGTCATAACATAACCTGGCTGTAGCTTTAATGGCGTCTCTTTGAATGGAGCCATATTAGTCAGGTAATATGAAGCACTCTCCACTTTACACACTGTTTAATCCGCTGATGATGCTTTACTGTCGGGCCAAACACAAAAGGAAATTTTTAGTATTAGAGAGCTATACGTAGGGCTTTTGACTCTCCGATGGTCCCACTTAGTCGTCTCCACGCTCGCTCTTCCAGGCACTGTGCATAAATAGCTAATTGCTCTGTAACCCTCAAATTGGTTCTGTCAACAGAGAATAACAAACAGCCAATAACTCATTGGAGGCTGAGTATCCATTACAAGCGCTTCTCCTGTTATCTCCAAGGAGACCACACACACACACACACAGAGCAAACCAGTCTCCATTTTCAGAGGCCGCAGCTAATTTTTTACACCGCCGGCAATTTCGACCTCACCGACTAATGCACTACAATAATCCTACATATGGCGCGCCACATTGGATAAATAATAAATTATCGCAACGGCTAAATGGTGCCTGTGATCCAACAGGATTTGACGGAATAGTTTGATATTTCGGGAGATGTGCCTTCTTGCCAAGAGATAGATGACAAGATTGATACCGCTCTCTCCAGCAGATGGTTAGCTTAGCTTAGCATAAATGCTGGGAACAGGAGGGAAACAGCCAGGCTGGCACCGAA